AACCCACAGCCAACATCATTCTATATGGAAAAAAACTGGAAGCATTCCCATTAAAATCAGAAGCAAGCTAAGGCTGTTCACTATCTCCACTCCTTTCAATATAGTGCTTGAAACTCTTGCTAGAGCAGTAAGACAAGAGAAGGAAATTAAGAGTATTAACTGGAAAAGAAGAGGTCAAGTTATCTCTATTTGCAGATGATATGATATTATATGTAAGATATCCTAAAAATTCCACCAGAAAACTGCTAGAAATAATTAATACTTTCAGTAAAGTGGCAGGTTACAAAATCTACTTACAAAAGTCAGTATAATTAGAGGTGGGACCATAAGAGAAGGGTATTATTAAGGGAGAAATGGGGGCACCTTAAATGGGGAAACCATGGTGGAAGGGTTAGACAGTGCAAGAGGTAAATAATGTCTGGCTAGTTTAAAAGAAAAAAGAGGGAACCATGTTAGTCCAACAACCTACTGACAAATTATACATACATCTATCTCAAAGAACATAATCTATGTCTGGTCAAAGTTTATTTGACAATCTTTGGTCTTTGCCCAACCTTAATTTACATAGCACATGGTAATTAAAAGTACTAGACTAGTGGAACTAACCTTCTTGAATGTTTAACAGCCATACTTTGAGGCCTATGCTAATTTGGTCAGAGGGACATAAAGGACAATTCCATGGTCGAGCAGGACCTTTGACTTACCTTCACATAGTCAGAACTGGTAAAAGAAAGGAGCCAGGGGCTCCTCCCAAGCCCATGTGACCCCTGAGGAACAGATCCTCAAACGGCCTTAAGAGTAAAAATAAATTGGTTTATCTGAGCCAACTGTAGAGTCTTAAATACCCAAAAGGAAAGTAGAACCAAACATTAATGGGGTCAATACAATTTTTGAGAGTCTATATGTATAGCTAAAGGCTATATAACAAGAAGCAATGCCAGACAGAAGATACCTTCCTTTGAGTTATTGGCCAGGGTGGCCCAAAAGACTCCCAGACAGTAACCCAGCATAGAACTGTGAAAATGAAGAACAGACCCCAGTCTTATCTAAAGGAATATTGACAACTGATTGATATAGTAGTGGCATTGTTACCTGGGGGGTAATCAACAGCTACCTAATTGCACTCAATGAGAGGGAACTCATGGGTGGCACTGTAATTATAGCCAAATATACATGACTGGAGAGATCATAGATCTTAGAGAAAATCCTATCTTTGTCGTATCTCTAGACAAATAAAATTTCTTACCATATATTAAATATGGATCCTTATATGTACAGCCAAGTATACCATACACCACTCAGCTTCTTTTTGCAACAGATGGAGGCTATTACAGAGTTCTACAACTGGTCACACACAGAGAATATATGTCTGAGAGATACTCAGCCCTAGGTGACCGAACAACAGTGGAACATCTACACCTAAGGCTCATGAAACATAGCAGAACAGGGGTGGAGAGAATATTAATGGATCCTTCAACTCTCAACAGAATGTGATGCACACGGGTCACAACTGGCTAAGTTTTAGAATAAAAGTCTGTAGAGTGTGTGTCCCTGGATAGGATTCTCACCCACCCATAGCTCAGGGACTATTGTGGAAGAGGGGGTGGAAAGATTATATGAGCCAGTGTTGGTCTGTGAACATAGGGAAACAGAGGCTTTCAGGCTACTGGAAGCTTGCTCACATGAACTTGTGGCAATGGTGGCCTTGTACACAAGACCCATGCCAATTCAATCAGAGAAAGGCCTAGTGTGGAGGGAGGGAAATGGGCAGTGGACCAGAACCTAGCCTGGGAACTGTTGGCAACTGATTACTGCTGGGAGAGGGAGAGTAGATCTTAAGATTTCTAGATAGGCTGACTAGATTCCAGTGGATAAACTTGCACCAAAGGACATCTGGGTATAAATGTTTGACTGGATGGGACTTACATGACAGAATTTGTGAGGTCCAGTGGGAGAACATGAATGGGGAGGGGTGGTCCTAAATTTAGTTAAGAACTAATGTATGAAATGCACAAAACCTCAATAAAAATATTAAAAATAGCTGGGCATGGTGGCACACGCCTTTAATCCTAGCCCTCAGAAGGCGGAGGCAGGCGGATCTCTGTGAGTTCAAGGCCAGCCTGGTCTACATAGTGAGCTCCAGGACAGCTGGGGCTACAGGGAGACCATCTCAAAAAGACCAAAAAAAAATTAAAAAACAGTATGATTCACTAAAAAAATCCCTCCAACACATTACAATTTTGAATGAAGTTATTGTAGGTACAGAAAGAAGAAAATCAAGCAGATATATATTTATCCATACAGTCAATATCACTCGTTAGGTTTTTCATTTGTTTGTTTTCAGTGTTAGAGATCAAACCCCAGGCCTCATCAATGCTAGATAAACTCCCTACCACTGGGGTATACTCCTAGCTCTGACAAAGCAGCTTTTACTCTGATATAGTTCTGGAAGGCTGTGGGCCTTCTCATTAATATCTCTTAAAATGTGGACCCTCTCCCACTCCAGCTTTGATTGGGTTAGGTGTCTGTCTGTCTGACTCTTTATCACAAGGGCTTCACAACTGTTTTCATTATGGCTGATAGGGGGATGGGTACAATGTCTGTGGAGGATAACACTGGAGGTGCCCTAATAGGGCAACTACAATTGATTATGATGACAACCATGGTTTTTACCAAAATAGTGGCATGACATGCTATTTATGGATATATTAGGGAGCTTACCATGAGAGGAAAAGGATGAGAAAAGCTTAGGACTTTCAGCATCTAATTTGAGGTCAGGGCAGATTTAAGGGGGAAAATTAATATCACTTCATGACATACACAAAACTACAGGTTTTATTACCTAAGCCTACATATAAAATCTGAAACAACGTATTCACTAGAAAAGAAAAAGCTTTATATTGTTGAGATAAACAAATAATTATTAAATAGGATACAAGACACAAAAAGCACTGTTCATAAAGGAACTTTTAAAGGCTAATTTTTGTTCAAATGCCATCATGAAGAGAACAAAAAGCTCAGGAGATGATATTTTCACATCATATTTGTAACTGAAAATTCATACCCATAATAAATTAAAAACTCATGGAAATTGATAAAAAGCCAATCCAATCAAAAGTTAATTTAACAAGTTTAATGAGACAATTACAAAATAGAATTTGAGTGTCCAGTGAACATATGAAAACATGTTCAACATTATTATGCATACAAATGAAGCTTCTAATGAGATACCATTATATACTTATGATGGCTTATATATGACCAAGAAGAAGCTGAATAGACTGTTCAGTCAATCAAGTGCTTGCCTCACAGCATGAGGACTTGAATTGGATAGGCATGGTGGTGTAGCCTGGTAATTCTAGCGCTGGAGAAGCAGAGACGGGAGGATTGTTGGGGCTTACTGGCCGGCCAGTTTAGCCTAATTGATGAACTTCAGGCCAGAAGGAGACCCTATCTCAAAGAAGATAGATGATACTCCTATGTTTGCCCTCTGGCCTCCACATGCATCCTCATACACATGAACACACCACAGACACAGACACAGACACAGACACACACAGACACACACACACCTACACAGACACACACACACCTATACAGACACAGAGACACAGACACACAGAGACACAGACACACAGACACACAGACACACACACACACTAAAAAACTAATGGGGCTGGAGAGATGGTTCAGCGGTTAAGAACACTGTTCTTGCAGGAGATCAGGGTTCGAATCTCAGCACCCACATGGCAGCTAACAACTGTCTGTAACTCCAGTTCCAGGGGATCTGACAGCCTCTTCTGTCCTCCGTAGGCATTGCACGACATGGGTGCGCTTACCTACATGCAGGCATAACATTCAAACACATAAAAAAAAAAAGACTAACAATATTAAGTTAGCCAGAGCCCAGAGGGAGAGTAAGGGAGTAAGGGAAACATTCACATTGCTGGTGGAACAGTAAATTGATAAAATTATTTTGAATAATGTTGGTAGCACTTAAGATATTTCCCCACAAATTCAAATAAACATATACTTTATTATGCAACAATTCTATTCCTAGGTATGTATATGACAGAAAAGAAAGCTTATATACAGCAAAAGACTGATACAGAAATATTCACCACCATATTAATTTATAAGTCCTAAATAGAACCAATTCAAATATAGAGCAGTAGCAAATATATAAATAAAATGTACTATATCTATAGACTGGAAGACCATAGTCCTGGAACAAACACAAATATCTTCAACAATATGAAGTATCACAATCACAATGTTGACCGTCAAAAGCCAGTCATTTCCATGAAGCTTAATGCTCGGTGAAGCTGTATGGTCAGACTAAACCAGTTGTGGTGGCATATGCCTTTATCCCAGCACTCAGGAGGCAGAGCAGGTAGAGCTATGTGAGTTTGAGACCAACCTGGTCTACATAGCTAGTACCAGGCCATCTGGGGCTACAGGGAGATCCTGTCTCAAAACAACCAACCAAAAAAAAGTCAGACTAATATTTACCTTTACGGGTACAGAGTATAAAAGAGCTTTCTAGACACTGGAATGTTCCATATCATAATCTACCTCTAGACCTTTCTAATGATTTTTCAGTCCCTTTGAGCCATTCATTTCACAATCAGATGTCAAAGTCTAAAATCACAGAGGTCCACCTCTTAGGATTGTATGACCTGAGCTGTGTATTTAACCAGCAAAGGTAAGCTAACATCACCTACTTTGGCAAGGTGATTGTATTAAATGAGGTACCATTTATAACATGTGGGGCCCAGTTATAGCTGGATTGATTACATCTATTGTTAATAGGTTTGAGGAAAGGGAAACAGCACTGGACTTGAAAGGAAGAACCTAGTTTCTCTTCTTTGGGGCTGTAATATGATCCTGTGTCTATAGATTCTACAAATCCATCAGTTAATTAATACAGCATATTTTTCATACAGCTTTAATTCCTCATCCAAATGTAGTACTTACATCCAACACAGAAAATTCCTTACCTGCCTTTGTCATGTAAATCTTTCCATTCTGGGTAATAAAAGTAATATCTGAAGTATAAAAACTATGAGCAGTCTTCCTTACGTTATTACCATGCAAGTCACTTATTAATTCAAAAGCATTCCCACCATCCATTGAAAGCCAAACCTACAAGAATAAAGAGAAAATATCTAAGAATTAGCATGAACAGCCAATTTTACCCACCAGTTTAATCTTCCTGTAAAAGAAAAGATAAGCACTATTATCTTTCCCACGCCCCTAGGTCTATCATGCACACAGGCACACACATAGACTCCTTCTCAACTTATACACTTGACCTACCATCTCCCGTGTAAACTGTCAGAATTAATTTGGTCAACTAAGTAGCTGGAAATGATACTTTATTGCATTCTTTGTGCGTGTGTGTGTGTGTTGTTGTTGTGATGTGTGTGTGTTGCATGTACATGAACACATGCATGCAGATACTAGAGTAGAACATCCTCTGTTGTTCTCCACCTTACTGCCTCTCATGGAAGCTCACTGATGGATGGGGCTGGCTGCCCAGTGAGCTCCTGGGATCTACCTCTCTCTGTCCCCATTGCTGGGGTTAAGGCAGGAACAATCATGTGTGACTGTAGGGGATTCAAATTCAGGTCCTCATGCTTACAGAGCAAGTGCCTTAAACCACTGAGATACCTTCCCAGCCCCACATACTGCATTTCTGATTTGTATGTTCCTGATTATTTAGGGTCCATACAATATCTTCACAGGTTCACATGTTTATTCTATTTGTGTTTTCTTTTCTATGAAATGTCTATTTGCCACTTATCTTTTTAGTATTGCCATTATTGCCTTTTTTTTTTTTTTTTTTTTTGGTCTTTGACAGCTCCAGCTGGAACTTGCTATGTAGACCAGGGTGGCCTTAATCTTACAGACATTCACCTGCCCATGTCTCCCTTTAATCTTACTTTGTAGGCATTCTTTACATAATTCTTACTTCTCATTCTCTCCCTCCATTAACACATTTATCTTTTCCCCTCAAAATTGGATTGTAGTTTTATAGGATGTTGTGAAGTCAGGCTGTAGCAGTCCTCTGATTTACTTTTCCTTCAACTTTGTGTCTTTTGCCAATTCAAAGGTAGGGTGGTGCATGACTGCAATTCTAGAGTTTAGGAGGCTGAGACAGGCAAGTTCAAGGCTAGCTTGGCTATACAGGGAGATCCAGGCCAGTCTGATGTAGAGAATAAGACCCTGTCTCAAAGCAAAGGAAATAGAAACCACAAACTCAAGGGAAGAGTCTGCCAGCTTCTTTTATTCCCAGTCTCAGCAACTTGAGGCTGTTCTTTAAACTTTTGTTTGCTTGTTTGTTTTGTTGGCTATTTTTTTAAGAGACAGGCTCTCCCTGTGGCCCCAGCTGACCCAAAGCTCAATTTGATCTTTTAGAAATCCCGCTGCCTCTGCCTCCCAAGTGTTGAGATCAAAGGTATGTGCCACCATACCTTTTATTTGTGATTTTGTTTTCCAGATCTACTTGACTGCAAAATGTAAATATGATTCTCATTAGAGTTTATGTCCTGACTTAATGGGGCCATTTTTTGGGTCAGCTATATTACATTTTACAGCGATTTTAGCTATTGTTCATTTGTTTCCATAAAACATTGTTCTGATTGTCTTCCTAATTCCTCACTCGACTATGTTGGTCTCATTTCTTAGCTCAATTTTGGAGAATAACATGTAAAGTTCATTAATTTAATTCTGCTTGAGATGTAGAGCCTATTGGCAATATTCCTGATCTATATGCTTTTTGAGTACATTAATTTCTTGCAAACCATTGGCTTTTGATTCAGCTAGTCTAAGAATTCAAGAACAGAAAATAGTGAAACAGTCACACTGGCAAAAAATGACAGCAAAAATGCTTTAAATAAAATGATTGAATTCTATTACAGTTGGGGAAATACAGAGAAAAGAATACGCGATAGCAACTAGGAGGAATGCATGCCCCAAATGTTATTTAGATGTTTTTCTATTGCATATGTGAAGCAACCTAGATACAGCAGAATATTAGGGTAACAAAAATTCAAGGGTCAAAGAAAAATTAGATGTTCTGAACAGTATGAAGATTAAAATAAGGAAAGGAGTTTCATGAAGCTCTAATAATAGGGTATCACCTTTATTAAATTCTGCATAGAACAGGGATTGTAAACTAAGAAATCATGTGTGAGGTTAAAATGAAGATGGTTTTATTCATGTGTCGATTAGATTTGCAAATTGGGAGAAATGGATTCAATTAGAAACCAAGTAAGTGTGGCATGAAGGGTCAGAAAGATTGAGTGAATAAACAACAGGGTGAGGTGCTAAAAAAATTTTTGGTAGGCCTTATTAGTTGCTCAAGTTGTTTTGTTTTATTGTGTTTTGAGACAAGATATCACATAGCCCAGGCTGGCTTAGAACTCACCATGTGGCCCCAAATGGCTTTGAACTCACAGCAGTTCATCTGTCTCAGCTTCCCAAGTGCTGGGATGCTTGTGTTCCAAATTGTTTTGAATGAATTTAGATTGGTACTTATGGCCTTTTCATACATTGGATTGTACATGATTGATCACTAGAGGGAGTTAACAATAAGCAATAAATGGTCTGAAAGAGTCAGCAAATCAGTAGAAATCCCAGGATTAGAAACTGTCAAAATCTGGGCTCTTATAAGCACTTTCTATCCAAATAGAATTCTTTATTTTGAAGTTAAAGATTGAGGAATTTCTGTCTGTAAACTGAAACTGTAACCTGTCATGTGATCTCTGAATCTCTGTTCTCTCTCAACTAAACTGCAGCCATCTTAAATTTTCATTTCCATAGGAAAAAGTCACTGAGAAATGGAAATCATTGCTTTCACTGAGTGTAGGAATGACTTTTACAACATGGACATAATCTGGACGAATGACTTTGACCTAACCTTGCAACTGAAAAGTTTCTGTTTAAAACATAAAAAAGTTTACTGAGTCATCTGCTTCTCTGGTGACCTGGGCATATGACCTTAATCCCTCAGGACCCCTTCTGGCCCTCCACCCAAGATACTGTAAGATGATGAATGCATATGTATGATTTACATTTCAAAGTACTGGAAGCAGCACGTTTTTCTCATTGCAAACAATGAGAAAAGTTGAGAAGTCTGTAAATTCTAGGCCTATGGGTCAGGGGGCAAGATTCTCTGGTGAGATAAGGGTGGGTCCTAGCATCTACTTCCCCAATTCATGCTGATGATACTGTTTCAATGGAAGAATGAGTGAAGCCTGACTTGAGACTACAGTTCTGTGAGATAACTGAGGGAACAGGTGCTCAGAGTTTGGGTCCACTCTTGGCTTTAAAATGAGTGCTAAGAGCCAGGCATTGTAGTGTCCAGTATGAGGAAGAGGTTCTACTCTGAACTCACAGATCAGCACACAGAGAAGTCCTGAGGAAAAAGGGGAGTATTGGATGTCCCAGTCATGCACTGTTAGTATGACATTGAACACAAGGCTTTCCTTGATAAGTGTGGTGCCAGAGTGCTAACTCATGAATCAGCACTTGGAGAAGTCCTCAGGAAAATGGGAAAACTTGGACATTTTCAATTAAACAGGGGGATTAGTGATGTGACAACAAACACAAGGCTTTCTTGATAGCTTGCACTGGCACACATTAATGATTCTTTATTTGCCTGTTTTTAATTTTTAAAAAAAATTTATTATTTTTATCTTATCTTTATGAGTGTATTGCTTGTATGGAGGTACTTGCACCTGTGTCATGCAATGCCCTCAGAGATCAGAAGAGGGCACCAGATCCCAACGGACGGTTGTTAGCTGCCACGTGGGTGCTGGGATTCGAACCCGGATCCTCTGGAAGAGCAGCTGGTGCTCTTAATCACTGAACCATCTCTCCAGTCCCTTAATATTCTTCTTTACCAGGCCCAAACTGCTTGGAATTGTGCTCAACACTTTCATTTTTTACCTTTCCACTTTGGATGTGGGGATCTCTCTCTTAAATTTTGTGCACATGCACAACAATTAGTAAATTTACTTAAAGGATTGGAAGTAATGTGTCATCAAAGCAAATTTGTGAATCTTTTTTTCTTAAAGTTAAAGAACTGCTTTATTAGGAAAATGATTACAATCTTGAATGGCTAAATTGTGAATCTTTTAAAAATATTTTATTATTTTATGTATATGCATGTATTGTCTGCATGTAGGTAGGTGCACCTGTGTCATGCAATGCCAGCAGAGGTCAGAAAGGGTCGGAGGTCAGATCCCCTGGAACTGGAGTTACAGACAGTTGTTAGCGGCCATGAGGGTGCTGGGAATCAAACTTGGGTCCTCTCCAAGAGCAGTCAATGCTCTTAACTGCTGAGCCATCTCTCCAGCTCCATTTGTGAATCTTTAAATGTTATTTAGAAATATTTTCCCTGACATCCCAACTATGGGACACTTGATTCAAAAACTGGGGAAAAAAAAACTGACGATGGATTAAACTATTGCTTAAAAACAATTAAATTGAAACAGCTAACTCTTTGGAACCAAAGTAAAGTAGATATACAGCCTTTTCAAGAGAAAAAAGTATTTCCAAGGGGCTGGAGAGATGGTTCAGCAGTTAAGAGCACTGGATGCTTTTACAGAGGACCTGGGTTTAGTTCCCAGTACCCACATGGCAGCTAACAACCATGACTCCAGTACCAGGGGATCTGATGCCCTCTTCTGTCCTCTACAAGCATTTCACAACACTGGGTGTATTTACACACATGCAGACAAAAACACTTATATACATAAATTAAAAAATAAACACATATTTTTTTTAAAAAAAAAACGTACTTCCAAAGAAACTACATCCTTTAGAACCTCATGGTCTTTTCCTGCCTTCCATGAAGCTCCCTTCCCTGAGGCAGGAAGCAGTTGGAAGAACTGACTTAGATAAATAATAAGCCTGGCTCTGCAACCGCAGAGGTTGACAATGCTGGCTTTTTCTGCCCTGCTTCTCCAAACCTGTTTTTCTCTGAGATAGAATATCATTTCTTTACTCAAAACTCCTTTGCTATTTGCTTGTTTTGTTTCTGTGTCACCATTCTGCTTTTGAACTCATTTTTCCAGTTAAAATGACATGGATAGGTTAAAGAGAGAGAATATCCTAAATTTTCTTTTTTCAATTTTTTTGGTGATATTTTCTGTGTTCTACATTCCCTAAATCATGGGTACTTAATTGAAGATTATATGTGGTAAATTTTAATGTGGTTTTCCTAATTTAGACAGCTGGCTTGACAGCCTTTTTAAAAAAGAGGAATTCACTGAGTGCTATCTTGTTTGCCTGAAAATTATAACTAAATAAAAAATGTCAAAGGGAATGTTTAAGGGGATTTTAGTTTAACCCACAAAGGAGTCAAGATCTTCCTTAATCATTAGAAATTGGCTGATTTCCATAATATATGTAAGGCCAATATTTACTCCTGAAGTTTTTTGAATGGTGGGTCCTCCACAGACAGGATCAGATTAACCAGGCAAAAAAGTAAAATTAAGTTTAAAAAATTGATTAAAGTTATAGAATATTAGAGTCACATCAGGAAGAGTAAATAATCTCAATAGACTCTACCTTCTTTATGGTCACTAAAAAGGAAGGAGGATATACAGGAAAATTTAGTCTTTTCAGTGAGAAAAGTGGCTAAATCTGCCAAGGCCTCTTTCCTCATGGTCACTCATGAGGGGAGGAAAATAAAGGTGCCCTGGAGAGCAGGTTCCAGAGGAATAATAAGACACCCCTAATCTGTATGTGTTTAACTTAGAGCTCAAAAAAAAAAAAACAAAAAAGAAATGTCTGATGATTTTCTGCTTTCAAAAATGGTGTTTAATGGGAAATATCATTATAGGAGAGTGTATACAGTCTCTTTTTTTTTAGATTGTTTGCCTCCATTTATGGACACAAGCTAAGTAATTGTTGTTATAAATTTTAAGCATCTGGTTACCCCAAATATAGCCAGGGAGAAACTCAAGTTAGGCAATAGTAAGATACATACTTATTTTGACTTGATTCTCACTGATTATAAGTGCTAACTGCTGTGAACTCATGATCTTATAAAGTTTAGAGATATCAAAGAATGACACTTCAAACCCAAGTGTTCTGATTTTTGTCAATTTCTGCCTCCAAATCCAGCCCCAACAAATTCAATTTTACAGAGAAACAAATGTCTTTTTTGTATATTGGTAAATTGTCATGTTCTGTTTGAACTCACTGAGAAGCTGGTTCTGGAGATGGGATTTGGCTCTCCCAAGTCCAGCTCAAGCATGCTCATCTCAAAATGTCTTCCAAAACTCCTGAGACAGGCTGACCCCCTTACTCAGTGATGATAAGAGGAGGACAATAACACAGTTCTACAGGAATTATGTCATTGAGAACAGCTAAGGGACCAAATATTTCAAAACGAGTTATTATTACTTATTTCATGATATAAAGATGCTATTATAACATCAGCTTAAGGGATGCTGTATTGTGTGACTAACAATGTTCTTGGGTGGGAACCTCCCACTAAAGCTTCAGTCCCTCAGGCTATAAAAGAAGTAGTGTCACCTTTAAGCTTGCCAGGCCCTAAGGGCAGGCCAGCTCCCCACTTATCCTTAAGATAATAATTTGTTTACCTCTTTAGATGTAGAAGGAAAAATTTAACAAATTCCCATAAATTTATGGGAGCCACACTTAGGCTTGCCATACCTTAAGGGGATAAGAGGCAGGCTAGTTATTTCCTTAGTCCTAGGATAATAGAGAATTTGCTTATCACTTTAGATGTAATAGTAAAAATTTAAAAATTCCTAAAAACTTATGGGAAACCCTTTAAAATATTTAGCTTTAATCTTAGGTAATTCAAGTTGGACTATAAAAAGTTTTGTTTGCTCAGATGTTATGAATTCAGATTATAGTGGTCAAATTCTTATTATAGTTTATTCTAAGCTACTCCAAGAAATTCCAACTTTAACTTAATTGGCACAATTTATTGTTCACTTTGATAAATGCAAACATTGGTTTATCACTAGTAACTTATGAGAAACTGGTAGATATGGGGCCTGTTACCCCATCAAGAAAGTTCTTACAATAGTAGGTAACTTTGTTAATAAATGTCTCATGGTAGTAAGAAAAATGTTAGAAGGATAAAAGAATGGAAATATTTTTAGTAGAGAAGGATTTATTTATGAAGTTTAAGATGGCTGGATGTGTCCAGAATGGGAAAGAGAACTGAAAAAGGCTTTTTGTATGTTTTAAAGGTTTGAGTAGGGTATTTTGGATCTACAAAAGACTAAATGAAATAAATAATCTTAATTTCTAGTCAAAGTTCAATTGAACTTCTGCTTAAATCAATGGAATTATGGATCTAATCATGTTAATTAATACAAAGATTGGCTTAAAAAATAAAATATATGTCTTATGTCTGATCAAGGTTTATTTAAGAGCATTTAGTTTTTACTATTACACAGAATTTAAAAGTACCAGACTGACAAAACAACATCTTTACAAAACTTTCAGGCTACTGATATGGAACTGTATGATTGGAGGCCCAAGGGTGGAGAAGGCTCTAAGAACAAGAGAACCAGAAAATGATGCTTAGGCAAAGTCATATGAAGAAAATTCATTGTCAAATACCAGAAACACCAGATATAAACACTGTTGATGGATTAATAGCAAAATCGAGGTCATTCAGAGTTGGAAAAAATGGATTATAACTGGCAAAACTCAGAACTCTGGTGTACCTATGGCTCATTTTTATCAGTCAGTGAACCAACTGAAAAGTCAAAACTGACTATAGGCACCAAGCTTAACATGCAATAATAAATAGCTGATAAATATTCATTGTTCTCCACTTCTATCCCTAGCTCTGTTCTTTACATACAATCACTCGGTACATACCTGATTGCCATAAACATACAGAAAGTGGCTTCGGGGATGAAACACCATTCCAACAGGGGAAGAGAATGAGGCAGGAAACCGGAAACTTGGAAATTTTGGTCGGGAATTTGGTCGTTCATTAGTTAGGATGGTCACAGTGACAGAAATTTGTTTATTACGCTGGATAAAGAAAGCACAAAAACTGGTAAGAATTCTTCCACTCTTCTTAGTCCATGTCATAATTTCTAGATTTTCCTACTGCTTAGGTTTTGTTTGAGACAGGGCACATTAGCAAAGCACAGAACTAGATGGATTAGCAATCACTGACATCTCTTTACTCCATTCTCCCTACCTGCTCATTTTGTAGGTTTTGAAATTAAGTTTAGGAGACTAAATAATATGTCCAAAATTCTTTAATAAAATACTATGGAGAAGTTTATCAGTCATTCCTGAAATCACCAGATAGACTGTTCTAGTTTGTCTCTCCATTGCTATAACAAAATACTCTGACCAATACCAACTTGGGGAGGAAAGGGTTTATTCAGCTTACATCTCCTGGGTCACAGTTCATCAGGGAGCCCAAGGTAGGAACTCAGGGCAGGAACCTGGAGGCAGGAACTGAAGCACAGGCCATGGAGGAATACTACTTGCCGGCTTGCTCCCCTGGCCCATGCTCAACCTGCTTTCTTATACAACACAGGCCCACCTGCTCAGGGGTGGCACCACCCACAGTGGGCTGGGCCCTCCCACATCATTCAACAATCAAGAAAATTCCCCCATAGACATGGCCACAGGTCGGTCCAACAGAGTCAATTCCCCAATTGAGACTCCCTTGACACACAAACATATCACTATTAAACCATAGCCTTTCCATTTCTTGTCCCCAAGATATGATGTTAACATTAACATCACCACATAAGACAGTACAACCTTAAAAACCCCACAGTCCTTAAAAAATCTAAACACTTAAAAGTTCACAGTCTTTTTAAAAGTCTCTTAACTGTGGGCTTCTGTAAAATCCAAACCAAGTACTGTCTTATTTCAAAGGGAATAGAGCACACCTAAGCAAAACCTAAGTCCAGCAAGGTAGCTAAAGGCTGGACATCTGGGATTCACTCACGATCTTCTGGGCTCCAAAGGGTTCTGGCATCTCCACCTCTCTGACTCAGCCATCCAAAGTACACACAACTTATCTCGAAGACCCAGACTGGCTCTATTCCACACCTGCTGCTGCCCTTGGTGGTTGTCCCATGGTCCTGGCATCTTCAAAAGCCACTGAAACTGAGGCTACACCTTCACCAATGGCCTCTTCTTGCCTCTTGGGGTGCAAAGTCTCATATTTTCTCCATGACCCATTCAATCCTGGGGTCTTCACTGCACCTGAAGCTGCACTTTCACCTATAGCCTTTCCTGGCCTCTCAAAGTGCCAAGTCTCAGCTGCTCTCTGTGACCCTCTTCATGCTTTCAACACCAGAACCATGCAGGAGACTCTTACAAATTACCAAGTCCTGCTTCCAACTAGAGATGGAGGCTCAGGCCTCCTCTTGAACACAGCTTCTGTGTGCAGACCAAGATTTCACCACAGTGATGCTGGTCTCTTGTTACTTACAGCTGATTTTTCAGCCCCACCTAACCAGCATCAATTGTCCCAGGAGGAGCAAAGGTTTTACTTCAGGTTCTCTTCTTAATCACAGCTGATTCTTCAGCCCCAGCCCACCAGAACCCATAGATTCTCAATTCAAAATATCACACAAACAGCCCTGATATTCTCTGCTTCCCTTTAAAACGTCACAAGCCAGGACTCCATCATCTACAACTCTTTCAGCGTAACTGTTCCAAGCTCCACAACAACAAACTCTGAGCACTCAATGGTTTTTCCAGCCCAAAGTTCCAAATGCTTTCACAATCCTCCAATGTCAGCTCTGTCACAGCAGTGCCCTACTCTCTGGTACCAATTTCTGTTCTACTTTGTTTCTCCATTGCTGTGACAAAACACTGACCACTACCAACTTGGGTAGGAAAAGGTTTATTTGGTTTACTTCTCCTGGGTCACAGTTCATCAGGGAGCCCAAGGTAGGAACTCAGGGCAGGAACCTGGAGGCAGGAGCTGAAGCACAGGCCATGGAGGAATGCTGCTTACTGGTTTGCTCTGCTTTCTTATACAACACAGGCCCACCTGCCCAGGGGTGGCACCACCCACAGTGGGATGGGCACTCCCACATTACTCAACAGTCAAGAAAATTCCCCCACAGACATGGCCACAGGCCAGTCCAGTGGAGGCAATTCCCCAATTGAGACTCCCTTAACCCAGGTGTGTTACGTTGACACTAAAGCTATCTCCAATGTCCACACCTATGATAATCATGTCAAGTGTGGGTGTCTGAGCTATATCCCAGTTCTACTGGATCATGATCTTAAAGGGACTATGACCCCACAATATGCCATCTTTGCATAAAAATGTTTAGCTGAAGACTTTAGAGATTTCACTGGTGAAGAAAAAAAGCTTTCTTAGATCTTCCCTTATTTGAATGAGAACACCAAATTCTGGGAAATGAGACTGACTATTGTCAATTTCTCTTCAGAGCAGATCTACATCCAGAAAAAATAAAGCAAATACATAAAATCCATCCCACATTTCTTCTCCAGGGGAATATTATGACCCCAAAAGAGATACCAACATGGCCAAACATTATCTCCTACTCCCTCTCTGTGGTTCTCCTGTAACTTACTTATCTGTTAAAAAGTCACCAGTTCAATCTCAAAAATGTTCAGCTTAAAATATCTTTGTGCCAAACTGGCTTACCCTTATTTTTAATCACATTTTTTATTTATTTTGTGTGTGTGTGTGCGCATGTGTGCACGTGTGCGCATGTGTATGTCATTGCTCACATGAGGTCAGAGGACAACCTGTGGGAATTGGTTCTCTTTCTACCATATGAGTCCTAGGGATTGAACTTAGGTCATCAGGCCCGGCAGCAAGTACCTTTACCTACTGAGCATTCTCACTGACCCCAAAATAGCTTATTATTTTTTAAAAGATTTATTTTAAATTATGCATATATATGTATGTCTGCATGATGTATGTGTATGTATGTGCAGGTGCCCCTGGAGGTCAGAAGAGGGCATCAGAGCCTCTGGAGTGAGAGTTATAGGTATTTGTGAACTGCCTGATATGGGTGCTAGGAACCAAACCCTTGTCCTCTGCAAGAGCAGTATGTACTCTTAACTACTAAGCCATCTCTCCAGCCCCTTATTTATTCTTTTACAAAGTCATATATATGGATATATGTAGTATTCTTTGATCAGAGTCTCCCCATTATCCTCTTTCATCCCTGTCTCTCCCCATCCCTTCTTCAAGTGTCCTTCCTACATTCATATCTTTGTGTGTGTGTGTGTGTGTGTGTGTGTGTGTACTTAATTAGGGTTGCCTACATGAACATAGGTTAGGGGGCTATTGGCTTAAATGGGGACATTGTACCAGTGACTATACCACTGAAAACTGACTTCCCCCATCCCTATAAACTTTACTACCTATAGCTCCTGTGGGAGGATTGGGGCCTTATGAGCCCTTTCCCCATCAGTGATGGAATGTTGATTGGCCCAGTCTTGTGCAGGTCCCTGCAGGTTGCCATGACTGCTACCAGTTTATGAGTGCAGCAGACATGCCATATCCATAAGACACCATCCTCCAGCTCTTACATTCTTTCAGCCCTCTCTTCTGCAATGCTTCCTGAGCCTTGGAAGGGTGACACAGATGTCCTGTTTAGGGCTGGGTACTCAGCAGTCACCTGGAGAACCCATGTATTTTCTAATGGCTCTGAGAATAATTCTAATTCGTAGCCCTATGCAATAGAAAATACAGATCTGTAGCAAAGGGTTCTATTTTTATAAATTGATCTTAACTAGTCATTTTATAGAACCTTAAATTTATATGGAGAATATGAAGCTTATATTCTCCTGGAGAATTAGCAAAGGACAATAACTATGCAACCAGCATCATGATTTCCATTTTCATCAGCTGAATGATCAGAGGTGAAAAAAAAATCTCTTCAGGCCAAAGTATTCTATTAGTCATAAATAATTTTATCAGGTTCTATTGACAGAGAGCATGAGAAGTTAGAAATGACATTTGCTCAGATGAATTTGCATTTCTTGACGACAACATCAATCCTCTGTAGGATATAACACCTACCTGGTTATAGAATAAATAAATCCCGGTGTCACGTTCTTGGTCAATAAGAAATGTTATCACACTTCGAACATTTTTTGCGCCTCTAAAAGTGGAAGGTAAGCAAGGCCACCACTCAAGAAATGGTTCTTTACCATAAAAACAAGCACTTGACTATGAAAGGAAAAAGGAAGAGTTAATGTTTCTGAAGCATAAATCTTAACTATTGTAGGAAAGAAACTAATAAATCACTGTGTTGTGACAGTCCACAAATCTCTCTCTCTTCCTGTCTCCCTCCCCCTTCCTCTCCCCTCCCCCTGGTCTCTCTCTCTCTCTCTCTCTCTCTCTCTCTCTCTCTCTCTCTCAGGCTTTTTGGGGTCAGAGTCATACTATACAAACTAGGCTGCCCTGGAACTCACTGTAGCCCAGGTTCATATTGAATTTGAGATTCTACTGCCTCTGCCCTCTGAGTGCTAGGATTATAGGTGTGAACTACCGCACCTGGCTCACAAATCATATTTTAAAATCTTTAGTATCTGTGCCTTTCTTCTGGGTGGATATGATCTCAGAAAATAGTGCAAAGTACCTCTTCTGATAATGGATTATTTGTTTAGAATCACTGTTTAATAGGTCTAGATTTAATCAAAGAAAGCATCTGCTATTAAACCCGTACATACAGATACCACTGGAAGTGGTTTAGCTTTTCTGTGTGCATGGATGTCATTTTTTTTTTTTTTTTTTTTTTTGGAGACGGGGCCTCCCTGTACCCCCAGCGGCCGTGGATCCACTAGGGAGACCAGGCTGGCCTAAACCTCACAGAGACCCGCCTGCCTCTGCTTCCCAAGTGCTGGGATTAAAGGTGTGCATGCACCACCATGCCTGGCCATGGATGTCATTTTTGAGAGCAATAACAATTCGGGACTGGAGAGATGACGCAGCAGTTAAGGGCACTGACTGCTCTTGCAGAAGACCCGGGTTTGATTCCCAGCCCCCACACAGTGGCTAAACAACCATGAGTAACTCCAGTTCCAGGGGATCTGACACCCTCTTTTGACCTCTGCAGGCATTGCTCAACACGGGTGCACTTATATACATGCAGGCGATACACTTACACACATAAAATAAAGTATTTTAAAAAGGAGTAATAACAATTCATGAAATCATGCCTAACAAAATTCCTACCTTTAAAATATTCAATATCATACCTCACTTAGAGTCCTGTTTCTGTCAAACGTGATAGTGATGTAATCAACTGTAAAATACAAAGGAACAGAAATGATAAACAGCATCAGCACTTAAAGAATTGTAAGGGTTAGTATTGATAAACTGGTGTCCATAAAAGCAATGACAGTTGCAGTGTAGATGTGTCACTTAAGCTTGGGCAATTCATATCATGTCTGTGTGTGACCAGTTGTGGTACTTGGTAATAGTCTCTGACTGGTGCAAAATGAGCTTCTTTGATGAATGGTGACTGGGATATTTGTTGCTGCAAGGTGAAGAACAGCTGATTTTCCTAAAACAAGGAACTCTAGATAGTTTGACTAGACCTCAGTGGATGGACTTGCATTGGGGGATGGCTGGGGACGCTAACAACACAATGGGCCTTAACAAGGATGACAGAGTATAAGGGCTCCAGTGGGGGGGGGGAGCTATGGGAGGGTGCCAGTAGGGATGAGGGTATAAAAATGATTAAGATTGAGATGTTCTATGTGAAATACACAAAAATTCAATAAAAACATTAAAAATGGCAGTTATTTACTATCAATTAACATATCCTTAGACATTTTTTTTTCACATTTAGGCAAGTGTATCTACCATTTTATTTTAAAAAGTTTGATTTTTTTTTTTGAGATGAGGTCTCCCCATAGCCCCAGCTGGCCTAGAATTTGCCAGTAGACCAGGCTGGCTTCAGTCTCATAGAGATCTGCCTGCCTCAGCTTCCCGAGTGCTAGGATTAAAGGCTTATACTATCACACCCAACTCAAATGTTTAATTTTTAACTCTATGTGTGTGTGTGTGTGTGTGTGTGTGTGTGTACAGGTACTTGTGGAGACCAGAGGTATCAGATCCTCCTGAAGTTGGAGATGCCATATGTGGGTCCTGATACCCAAACTCCAGTTCTCTGCAAAAGCAGCATGTTTTCTTAACCACTGAGCTACCTTGCAAGTCCTATCTTAATTTTTTTTCTTTTGAGAGGGTCTCAATATATAGCCCAGGCATCCCTCAAACTTGCCATGCTCCTGCTTCTGCCTCCTGAGAGTTACAGGAATACCAGGTGTGCACCACTACCGGGTCACTACTGGGCCTGGCTTTCTCATTTTTTCCCCTAAATTTTAGGCCATTAATTTATATATAAAAAGTTATCTTTACATTTTATTCAATTTTCATTGTATGACATTTTATTTAATCGGTATATTCTCTATATTGATAAAAGTCTACTAATATATCTTTAAAATTTACCTTCAAAATCTTCTCTGTTAGCAAAACACTTTTCATTATACCACAGTTTTCCTTTGATGTAGTCAACCTACATAAATAAATAAATGAAATTATCAACTGGGAAATATGTAGACCTAACATATTAAACAGAAAGAAACTTACTAAAAAATTTCAGTTTAGTCATTTGTGGATATGGGGGCAAATAAAAAGAGAAAAATTACATGCAAATAAAAGGTTGTAGGCCTATGACAAGAAACTGGAACATATTTTGAACAGTCACCAAAAAAGGAATACAAAGAGAAGAAACTGCACATGACTGGCATATTCATTGATGATTCTCTTGATTATGAGCTATCTTCCTAAAGCTACCAGAATCCCCTTAGCCTTTATCACAGTTACAATGGGGCATACATTTATTTTTTGTTCTTCATTTGCTGAGGTTGGGCACAGGGACTCTTCACAGAAACCTGACAGCAACAAGTAGTCACAAGCTAATGTGACTGCAAATTGGTCAGAAGAGCAGCTATCAAGAAAGTGAGACTATGTATGTTGGATATTAATTATAATCATTTGAGAAGGTTTGTTAGGGGAAGAATTTGACTTTCAAATTGCTATTATGATAAGGAAAACCTTACATTTTTTATAGATCAGTACTAAAATCTATATATCTTGCACACAAAAGCCTTTAAAATGTCCTAACATTGATTCTGGTGATGGTTATACAACTCGAAAATATACTAAATACCAATTGTACTATACATGTTAAAAGGGTAAAGTTTATAGAACTATATCTTCATAAAACTGCTAAATAAACAAAAAGGCCTTTTAAGACCAGATGGTCCATGATTTATTTGAATCATATTATATGAAATATATTAAAATTAAGTTGTTATATCAAAACTTTTGAGTTCTCATATAAATCTTCTGGTTTGCAGGATACAATAATTAACATTATTAATCTGGACAATTAATATAGAATCTTTATTGGTCACTGAACTATTCCTCTTTGTTCTGAAAATTCTTTTTTTAACAGGTACTTTGGAATGACACTGTCACCCCAAGTTGTGAGTTTTTATGACATCAGAAGAATCAGACAGAGGTGCAAGTCATGGGCTCAAGAAATAAGACCCTTTATTCTTATACATGAGCATAGAGAGCATCCCCCCAGGTGTGTAGGGACCTGGTCTCCGTTCTGGAAATTCTATTGCTCACCTTGTAGACCTTCTGGACCTCTTCTTGAGGGATCATCATTGCCCAGTGATTTTTCTTTTGGTCTTTTTGAGACAGGGTCTCCCTGTAGCCTCAGCTGTCCCGGAACTATGTAGACCAGGCTGGCCTTGAACTCACAAAGATCTGCCTGCCTCTACCTCCCAAGTGCTGGGACTAAAGGTGTGAGCCACCACACCTGGTTGTCCTGTGATTTTTAATGTTTCCCTGAATGGTTTGAGAAATTTCTTCACTTTTATCTTCTGTAGTATTGGTCTATATCTAACCAATGGCTAGTCTATGCTTCAGTTTATTTAATTTTAATTTCAATTTTAGTACTTTAACCCAAAAAGTGTTTTTATGCTGTGCAAACTCCTTATGTATGTTGGATGCCTTTGTTTTTATTCCTAATATCTCATTGCCTCTGACACAGCATGGCAGGAGCTCAGGGTATGTGTATGAAATTGCTTTACTAGGTGAATTGTGTTGCTCTTGTTCAGTTGTTGCCCTGTCCATCAGCATTCTAGTATATCTCTTGATTCTAATGATTGTATTCTATTGGGGTGCCAGGCTACTTTAGAGATTTTTGGTTTGTTGCTTTTTATATGTACGAGTGCTTTGCCTGCAGCTCTTAGACATATTTTGAAGGGAGGGCTCAAGGGTGGTTTTTAGAACACCTCGAATTGTGGCAATGCCAGAATGGGAGAAGACAAAGTGCGCTTTACCCTCTGGGCTGCCCTTTCTTCATGCAAGAGTCTCAAATTAGCAAGCCTTCCTTTCTAGCAGGGATCCATCAGCCTGCCGCCTCAGCCAGGCTCAGAGAGAACTCAGGCTTCCCTTCTAGGCTTCTCTTCAGTTCCCCTGAAGACACACTCTCACTCCTACTGATGAGAAAATCCTTTCAGTAATTCCTGTTGCTCTGCAGGCTGAGATTTCTCTCTATACAATCCTCTGCCTTCCTATCCTCTCTGCTGTATGTTGCCATGTGCCACATTCTCACTGTTTTAGTTTAGTTTCTATTGCTTAAACAGAGTATCTGAGGCTGAGTAAATCATTTCTATACTATATTGTTTCAATATAATGACAAGAAATAAAAGTCTGTACATTGGGTACTTCATGATACTGGGAATTGAACCCAGAGTTTGTGCTGCAAGGCAAATTCTCTAGCCTGTGCTACATCTCCAGTCTCCCTAATATTTTTGGTTGGCAGTTTTTTGAATTTGAGCAAGTTAATCTGCAAATAAGGAGGTTGGTTATTCCCATTTATTCTTTCAATTATAAATCAGTTTTGCCTATTGGGTTTTCCCAGTTCTCTGTTTCATTTTTTTCTGTTAATACATTACTATGAGACTTGCAGCCCTGAGTTCTGTCCCTTAGACTCCCTAGGGCCCCTCTAGTCTTGGCAGGGCAAGTCATTCCCCACCATCTCAGCTCTCAGCCCAGCCCAGATCTTCAGAACCCTTTCCCACCCCAGATGTGCAGTCCTGAACTCTTGTCACTGAGGCCTTCTTGCACTCTGCCATCTGAACTCTGTTTGCCCCAGACCTGCGAACTCCCACCCTAACCTATTGGCTAACCTGTTCACCCAGCAGCCCCCACCCTACCCTGTTTCTCCAGTATCCTGTGCAGTCAAGCCTGGAATCTCAATTCAAAAGTTGCACCTATCTCTAGCTGTACTGAGACTGCTTCTTTCACCCCACTTGTAAGATAAAGTGGCCCCCAAACTGAACATCAAGCACTATTCAGCAGGGTCATAACTTGACAAGTTGGGGAAGCAGCAAATAAGATACAAATAAACATTCAACAAGGATGAGATTACTTGCTCATATCAAGATATACCACCACATAAGTCCAGATGTCCATGTCTCAGCAAAAAACCACAAACAACATGAATAGCCAAGATAATATGGCTACTACAGAAATTAACAAACTATCTTAAGGTTTCCTGAGGGTGACTTCAAAATAGCAATTATAAATATGTTCAAGGAACTCAAAGAGGATATGAATAAAAAACTGAATCAAGACTGTGAAAACACAGTTGAATGAAATAACTAAACAATTCAAAACGTGAAACTAGAATTCAATAAAGAGATAGACTCTTTGAAGAAAAGCCAAACTGAAATAAAATTTGAAATAAAACCTCAGGAACTCAAAGCTTAGAGAAGAGAAGCAAAAAGGAAGCAGAGGAAATGGAGCAGAGAATATCAGATCTTGAAGACAAGGTGGGGGAAAGGAATTGCATCAAATAACCCAGGAGTGGAATATGCAAGACCTCTGGGATACTGTAAAAAGACCAAGACTACAAATCGTAGACATTGAAGAGGGAGAAGAAACCCAGGTCAAAGGTGCAGAAAATATTTTTAATAAAAGCATAGAAGAAAAAATGTCAAACCAATGGAAAGAGATACCTATCAAGGTACAAGAGGCACACAGAATATCGAGTAGACAGGTCTAGAAAAGAAATTCTTCATATCATATAATAGTCAAAACACTAAATGTACAGAACAAAGAAAAGGTATTGAAAGCTGTGAGAGAGAAAAATCAAGTCACATACAAAGGCAGGCCCATCAGAATAACAGCTAACTTTTCAATGGAGACTATGAAAGCCAGAGGACATGGATAAATGTTATACAACTCATGAAAGAACAGATTCCAGCCCAGACTACTATGCCCAGCAAAGCTATAAGTTGTAATTGAAGGAGAAAGAAAAACTTTCCATGATAAAAATGGATTTAAGGCATTTATGTCCACAAAATCAGCCCTACAGAGGATACTGGATGGAATACCTCAGTCAGAAGTGAAGATTAAACACTCTTGAGAGAACACAAAGAAAAAATAAATTATTCCAAAACAGTCAACCAAAAGAAGTCTAAGAAAACAGCACTACAACACCAACATAACAAGAATTAATAAACATTGGTCAATAATAGCCCTCGGGCTGAAGAGATGGCTCAGTGGTTAAGAATACTGGTTGTTCTTGCAGAAGACCCTGGTTAGAATCCCAGCACCCACATGGCAGCTAGCTAACAACTGTCTGTAACTCCAGTCTCAGGGGATCTGACAGCCTCTTCTGACCTCCAATGGCATTGCATGACTCAGGTGCACTTACCTACATGTAGGCAACACACACCTACACATAAAAACAAATAAATAAATAAAAAATAAATAAATAAAATTTAAAAAATGGTCCTCAATATTAATGGTCTGAATTCCCTAGAAAAAGACACAGATTAACCAATTGGATTAGAAAACAGGATCTACCAATTTGTTGCCTCAAAGAAACACACCTCACCAACAATCATTGACACCACCTTAGGGTAAAAGGCTGAAAAAAAGATATTCCAAGAAAATGGAACTAAGAAACAATCAGGTGTAGCTATTATAATATCTGACAAAAATAGTCTTCAAACTAAAACTAGTCAGAAGGGACAGGGAAAGTCACTTCATACACATTAAAGAAAAATCCACTAAGAAGAAATTACAATCCCAAACATGTATGCACCTCACACAGGGCATCCAATTTCATATAAGAAAAATTATAAGTGCTAAAATCTCACATTGACTCCAACATAGTGATAGTGGGTAACTTCAGTACCCTGCTGTCACCAATAGACAGGTCAAACAGACGAAAACTAAACTAAGACACCCTGGAGTTAAATAACACCACAAATCAAATGGATTTTCAGATATCTATAGAACATTGTACCCAAACACTAAGAAATATACTTCCTTCTCAACAGCCCACAGAACTTCAAAATCAACCATACATTAGGCCACAGAGCAAGTTTCCACAAACTTATGAAAACCAAAATATCATCTTGTATTCTATTTAATGACAATGGAATGAAGCTAGATTATCAACAATTATAAAATGGGAAAAAA